GCAGGAGGATCATTTGAATATAGGAATTCGAGGTTGCAATGAGCTGTGATTGTGCCACTGTACTCCAGCCTGGGCCACAGGGTGAGACTTTGTCTTGAAAGAGAGAAAGAGAGAGAGAGAGAGAAGGGAGGGAGGGAAGGAAGAATGGAAGAGAGAGAGAGAGAGAGAGAGAGAATACTTGAATACTTCTAGTGTATTCTTGTGAAGTTTAATTTTTGTCTAAGTAACCAGCAAGGCATCTTTTTTTTTTAGTGTGTTTAAGGGTTTTGGTGTGATCTTTTTTTCTAATGGAGAGAGCGGATTTTGATTGAGAGTTATTAATAGTTTTACTAATGCCTAGTGCCTGTGTTAATAAAAAGCAAGCAGATTAATGAACACGGGTTAATAATGCTCTTACTAAGACTGAAATTTTGAACATTGTGAATATATAAATTTGTAAGGGCCATTTATTTTTAATTTTAATTTTTATTTTTTTTTGAGACAGAGTCTTGCTCTGTTGCCTGGGCTAGAGTGCCGTGGTGTCAGCTTAGCTCACAGCAACCTCCAACTCCTGGGCTCAAGCGATCCTCCTGCCTCAGCCTCCTCAGTAGCTGGGACTACAGTCATGCGCCACCATGCCTGGCTAATTTTTTCTATATATATTTTTAGTTGTCCAGATAATTTCTTTCTATTTTTAGTGGAGACAGAGTCTCGCTCTTGTTCAGACTGGTCCTGAACTCCTGACCTTGAGCGATCCTCCTGCCTCGGCCTCCCAGAGTGCTAGGATTACAGGCGTGAGCCACCACGCCTGGCCTGTAAGGGCCATTTAAAGAGAACTTCTGATACTCACTTGAACTCTTTGCCCAGCTTTAATCCCTTCTCAATTTAACCCTACTCTTGGTAAAATGGTAATATTTTCAAACATAGGAGAGTCTGACCAAGAAATAGGTTGATCAGGACAGCTGAACACACATGGTAATGGTAGATCATTGAGAATGAATTTCCAGAAGACCTTTAGGAAACCTTCTACAAGCAAACGTGTTTCAGGAGATTAGACAATGTCCTTTCAGATAACATAGGAGAGAGATGACTGAGTCATCCTAATAACGAGATTGAGATTTTTTAGCCTTTACCTTTTTTTTTTTTTGAGACAGAGTCTTGCTCTGTTGCCTGGGCTAGAGTGCTGTGGCTTCAGCCTAGCTCACAGCAACCTCAAACTCCTGGGCTCAGGCGATCCTACTGCCTCAGCCTCCCAAGCAGCTGGGACTATAGGCATGCGCCACCATGCCCACCTAATTTTTTCTATATTTATGTTTTTAGTTGTCCAGATAATTTCTTTCTATTTTTATTAGAGACGGGGGTCTCGCTGTTGCTCAGGCTGGTCTCGAACTCCAGACCTTGAGCGATCCACTTGCCTCGGCCTCCCAGAGTGCTAGGATTACAGGCTTCAGCCACGGCGCCCGGCCTAACCTTTACCTTTTTTTTTTTTTTTTGAGACAAGAGTCTCACTGTGTTGCCTGGGCTAGAGTGCTGTGGCGTCATCCTAGCTCACAGCAACCTCAAACTCCTGGGCTCAAGCAATCCTCCTGCCTCAACCTCCGTAGTAGCTGGGACTACAGGCATGCGCCACCATGCCCGGCTAATTTTTTCTATATATTTTTAGTTGTCCAATTAATTTCTTTCTATTTTTAGTAGAGACGGGGTCTCGCTCTTGCTCAGGCTGGTTTCGAACTCCTAAGCTCAAACAATCCGCCCGCCTCGGCCTCCCAGAGTGCTAGGATTACAGGCGTGAGCCACCGCGTTTACCTTTTTAATGATGGCGATTGTGAGGGAATTGGAGGTAGGGGTAGGAGATATAACACTGAATAGAGGGCAGTTAAAATCCATAGTGTCAAAGGTAATTTAGGCAGCAGAAAAAGTGCCTAAGATTAATCAAAATTGGAGACTACTTTTTAAGTACTTTCAAACACAAAGACCCTGTGTAGTCCGTGATCCAACCGAATGTTACTCATTGAAGGCCAAGGAGCAATGTGTTGGGTAGGGACCTGAAACAAGCTTGGTGCTTTGAACACTGTTCCTGAGAGCATCAAAGAAAGCTATTCAGGGGGAGAGGATGTGACCCACGTGACCAAGGTGCAGTATGGAGACCCACGGGTAGTTTGATTAAAAAGCCTTTTAATCTCAGTGTGCAGAAGATGTTTCTAAGGGACAGAGCCTGACCCCTGACAGGGATATGCTGATTAAAAGTCGATGCCAGTATCACTTTCTTGGCATGGGGGGACCAAACCAAGACAGTCAGAGGCTTCATCTGTGTCATTCAGCAGCCACCGAGGGGGAATGAGAACCGGGAGGCCTGTTGGGTTGACGACACAATCGACCAACTGTGCGGCATGAATGAAGGGGAGAGGTGTGTATGGATTCTGAATAGCCATGGAGGTGAGGGGGGAGTGGGCGTTCTCAGCAGGCCAGGTCATGGATCAGGGAGGACCCACACAGACATTTAATCTGAGCAGGGGTCCAATTGTGAAAGGAAAAATGTAGATATCAAAAAACGCAATGGAAGAAAGGTCTTGTTCCTCTGGTAACTATTTTTCTAGCTAAGCCCATTGAGAGGGTTCACAGAAGGACATTGAGCTTTGCTGGACAATAACGGTCCCTGAAAGACAGACTTTCATTTCTGGGATCAGCTGCGATCAAAGATGGAAGGGCAGATCTTGTCTGGGCCTGCACACTCTAAAGCCCCACTGAAATGGTAGAACACAAGGGAAGAGGACTTAATGCCGATTTCCTGTCTAGCAGTGTGTGGGAATGCCACTGTGTCAATTAAAGGCATCGATCCACTTTATGGAATTTGAAGTATTATCTTATTTTCAAATCCAAATATTAGCCAAAGCATAATTAAAGCTAAAGTTTTCCTCTTGTCTCAAATGAAATATAAAAGAAGTCAAAGGTGGAGACTGCTTATAAGATGAAAGTTTTATCAGAAAAATTGGGGGAACAAAAGAAAAATGTTAGTGATTTTTTTATCTCCTATTGCTACAATAGATATTTTGTTTTTCTAAAAGGGGAGGCCCACTCAAATATTATGGACAGTGTTCTGAATGTTGACTGCAAAATGAGCACACTGCATAATGAGTGTTGTGGGGCTTTTGTGCCATGAAACTACCCAAGGAACCCCTGTTTTCAAGGAAGGGAAGGATGTAGCTGACTTCTTAGGGGATGCCGAAGTCCGCATCTTAAATCGTATTGGGAGCAATGCTAGGAAAGAGTGGTTTGCTGCCGTTGGCTCTAGGTGCTCCATTTTTCAAAGCCAAATATCTTTCTCAGGACTCTCCTCATTTCCAAATTCAGGAGAGTAAAGGGGGCATCAGAGTTGCTCCTGTGTTACTAAGCAGACAGAGCCATTTGGAGGATCAGTGTGAAGCTATAGTAGCCACCCTGCCTTCTGTGCTGGAAGGCCCCTCCAGAACCCTGGAGATGAGATGGGGTTCAGCCTCTTGAGCTGACCATATTGGTCTTTTTCATCTTTAATTCAGAAGGGCATCCAGAGGGAGAAGATCTTTATCTTCACCCAGTGTGCCTTTTCATCTGGTCACTTGTGCCCAGATCCTGCCCTTTTTGTAGGATACTGAATGATGATGATCTTCCTTTTGCAGTGGGAGGAACCAGGACGACTGCGTCAAATCCCAGGATTCTCATCAGTCAGAGCCTCGAGCAGGAATAAGCAGAAGATAAAATGTTCCCAAGCGTATTTTAATGGTGTTTGTAGTGTTAAATAAGTAAATAGGAGCCATTAGCCTGAGACTGTCTCCGTGCTTTGAGTTCCTACCTAACAAACTGCAACCTAACTTAGTGCGTAAACAAACTGAAACCTAAATTAGGGGTATATTTTTTGTAACAAATAGCTGGGTTTCAACCATTGCCTGTGATGTGACTCACAGGCAGCCCTGTGAACAGACCATGCCCAAGTAAGACAGATACCTTGCTGTAGCCATTCAGATAATTTCTCTACTTTGCTTCCATTTCAGCCTCTAAAAACTCACTGCTCACACTGCTGGGCCGAGCTCTCTGAACCTCTTTTTGTTCTGAGTGCTGCCCGATTCATGCATCCTTCTCTGCTCAAATAAACTCTGTTAAATTTTATTTTTTCTAAAGTTTTTCTTTTAATGGTAGCACTCTGGTCTTACGATAAGTATGGTATCTTCCCTTGAGAAGATTTGAAGTTCGTTTGTGGAAGCAGGTGTTGGGAGGGTCGGAGCTTGTGAGTGTTACTGTGAAGTGGTGCAAGGAGGGTATCTGAGACCAGACAGGAGTTGTAACACCAGATGTGGATGGTGTGGCATATAACACCACTACCTTGTCCTTCTTCCTTTAGCACAGACAAGCTACCCTAGCACCCTGATCTTTATATTAACTTACACACAGACTCAACCTCATGGATAGAGTAGTCCCTAAGTAACAGTATGCTGTGATCTTCTACAAATGAATCCTGTATTTTAAAAATAAATGTGATCAGGAATATATACAATGCTGGGAGAACAGGAGTAGTCATCTAGTTTATGATTTCAGCAGGTTGTATAGGCTAAAAAGGCTGGAGGGTCCATAGATTACCTTTTGGAGAGGTCCATGAAACCCAGAAACTTCACGGAAATTTTTGTTGTAAGTGTATTTTGGAGGGAAAGGATCCTCAGCTTGCATCACATTCCTAAAGGGATCTTTGATCCCCAAATAGCCAAGAAACACTGATTTGGAAAATCCATGGAATGTAGATTCATATGGTTCATTTAAGAGAATTCAGAGCCATCTACGGTGTATCCTGGTACATTGATTCCATGAAGGGAGCTTTTAGCATTGCTGGGTGGCATCATCTGCAACAACACAGAGCTGGCTCGACCACTGGGTCGATGTTGCATGTCATCTTTGATGTTTCCCCAAGTTAGCCACATGAGCGGTGAAGGGCTTCCTTTCTAACAGGGCCTTTCAACCAAGTATCTCATGCTTCCTTTGACTTTATTTTTCAGATGGGAACAGCGAGAGCTGCCCAACGGACGTGTGTATTATGTTGACCACAATACCAAGACCACCACCTGGGAGCGACCTCTTCCTCCAGGGTAAGGCATGAACCGGCAAGCCCTGAGCCTCCAGAACTGGCCTGAAGGGTCACCCAATGGCTTCTTGAAATGGTCCCTTTCTGCAGAGATAGCAGAGTAGAGGTGGCATTTATCATGGGTCACTTGATTGCTTTTCCTGTCCACTTATCTTAATTTTGCTCTTGTTTCTTAGGACAGTCTAGAATTTTTAGAGGATGTCTTGGAAACAAAAGGGGCATGAGAGGCCAAGAGAGAAAGAGCACTGATACATTTCACTGCACCCTGTGCCCAACCTGCCCCTAAAGGCAGAGCGCTTCTCACTCAGCTGGGCTTTGTGAGATGCCTCTGAGTTCTCCAAAACCAAAGGATGAGAGAGGCTTCCAAGTGAGGGAAGACTGTCCAAGTTGAAGAAGAAGGGGTTTGGTTCCCTGTCTGCCAGGGACAGAAAGTTCTTTCCACATGTGTCTCCTGGTCCTGAGAGCTTTCAAAAGGGAGTATAGTCTGCTCTCAAGAGAGAACCACCTCCTAGTCAAGCAGCCACGAAGGGCTCCTGCGTAAAACACGCACACTTCCCCTTCCCAAGTTTGCAGAGGGAAAGGCTGTCGGAAGTTGGCAGTCTTGAGAGAGCCCCTGTGCTTTGTTTGGTTCGGCCGTCAGGTGTGTGCCATGCAAATACCACCTCATCTTCTGGCCCTGCAAGTTTCCATGGATGGGCTGCTTGTAGCTTCAGTTTTCCATTAGAGTGCTTGGGTTTTCCTTTTTTTCCCTACCTTCTGGGGAGGAAACTCATAATCTGTCATCATTAGTGCCCACTCTGTTTTATTTTATTTTGTTTTTTTTTTGAGACAGAGTCTCGCTCTGTTGCACAGGCTAGAGTGCAGCAGTGTCATCATAGCTCACATAGCAACCTCAAACTCCTGGGCTCAAGTGATCTTTCCGCCTTAGCCTCTCAAGTAGCTGGGAATACAGGTGTGCACCACCACGCCTAGCTAATTTTTCTATTTTTAGTAGAGATGGGATCTCACTCTTGCTCAGACTGGTCTCGAACTCCTGACCTCAAGCTATCTACCTGCCTTGGCCTCCCAAAGTGGTAGGATTGAAGCCACCATGCTTGGCTTACGTTTTTTACTTTGACTTAAAGTCAAATGAAGTTACCGAAGTTAAACATTGACTTCTTAAATTTAAAAAAACCGTTAAGTATTAAAAGAATTTTTTTTATAGAGATGGGGGTCTCACTGTGTTGCCCAGGCTGGTCTCAAACTCCTGGCCTCAAGTGATCCTCCTGCCTTGGCCTTCTGCAGTGCTAGGATTACAGGCGTGAGCCACCATGCCATAGTGGCTCCTCTTAAAACGTGAACAAACAGCCAAATATCAGCAGACAGGAAAAAAGGAACTTGGTGTAAACAATATGGGGAGCTGGAAAAAAATGTCAGAAAAGCAAACCAAATTATGATATCCTCAAAGAATTAGGATCTGTGCAACAAGAACAGGAGGCCATGAAATGGACCATACAGAAAACAAGAGCTTTTAGTAAAATATCTGCATGGTAGTTCTAGCAAGAAAGAATAGAGAACCAGATGATAGGAATGATAAAAAGAGAGAGAGAGAAAAGAGAAAAGAAAATTGGCAGAACTGAAATATACCGTGTCCAAATTCAAAGGGCCCAGCAAATGCCCACCCCAGAGGATGAAGAAAGACCCATCCCAGGGCACGGCTAATGGAATTTCCTAGCGCCAAGAGAAAGCTTCCCAGGAAGGAAAGTAAACAGAGTTCATAGAAAGGGGCAGGGATCAAGAATGCCATCTTCCTTCCCAACGGTAGCTACAGAGCAGGACTGTCACCGTGCTGGTGGAAAATGAAATCAACTTTTAGTCATTTTAACATTATATCGTTGAGGGTAGAAATAAAGACATCTTCAGACATGCTGGGTTTCTGAGAAAGGTGCATGCATCCTTTCCCGGAAGCTATGATTTATTCCACCAAATGAGAAGAGGCTGAGAAAGAAGGAACAGGATGCAGGACACAGAGAACTCAACCCAAAGGCCGTGGGAGTTCCCAGGAGGAAGAGGAGGGAAGATGAGTCAGAATAATATCGTCAAGCAGCTGGGATGTGGACGTGCAACTGTCCACCTCTGACAAAGGAGAGATGCGGCCGAGAGATTAATGCCACCGACAGGGACGGGGCACCTGTCCTGGCCAAGATTCTGGGGGGAAATTAGTGATAGGTTCTTGAAAACCAAGCAGAAGGAAACAAGGGAGTTCTTACTTCCAGAAAAAATACCAAATGTTGTTACGAGTAAGGAAATGTATTTATAGTATTCGACATCATCAGAGTACAAACCCCGAATATTGATTTAATGATGATTTTCCATATTGGGAGGATGAGGGGAGGAGACGGCAGTGTATGGGTTGGGACAATAACTAAATCCTCATCTTTGGTAGTGGAAAGTCTGTAAGTTATATCAAATATGGCAAAAATCAGGAAATAATGGAACAGACATGTTATGTAGAGATGTGGATATACATATATACTGGCAGAAGCAGTTGAGAGTTGAAAGTAGTTGCCTTTAGGGAAGAAGACTCTGCAGTGAAGCAGGAGACCACGGTTTCTCATTATGTCTCCTGCAGTCCTTGTTGCATTTTAAAGCTATATAAACATGATTTCTTTAATAATAAATAAATAAAAGTGACTAGTTTAGAGAAATTATGAGAAAGGCAGGAAGATTCCAGATTTTTGTGAGCCTTGAATACTCACCAAAGAATTTTGACTCACAAGCAGCAGGGAGTCCACTGAAGATTTTGGGCAAGAGCAGGACCCACAGGCCAGTCTAGTGGGTTACTCCAGTGGCCATTTAAGGCTGGCTGGACGTGGGGAGGTTAGTTCTGGGGTAGGTGCAGTAGTCCAGGGTAGAGGTGACACAAATCTGGACACAGAAATGGAGAGCCAAGGCCGGGGGAGAAAACAAAAGAAGTCCTGGACTGAGTGATTTACTGAGGTCCATGGCAATGGTGGTGGTGTGTGTTCATCCAGAGAGATGAGGGCCTGAGGGAACCGGGAGAGGCTCAGGTGTGGGGAGAGAGCTGTGGCGCTCCCCTGATGACACGGTCACAGCCGATCACGAAGGCGAGGCAGTCTAGTGGTCAGTGTCCAGACAAAATCTGGGAACTGGCTGTGGGCCTGGGAGCTGCTTGGGGGAAGCCATTTTTAGGAAGGCCTTGAGTTTAAAAAGGTCACTGAGAGGTGGCCAGAAAGTTAGCTAGGAGGCTAACCCAGAAAATCAAGGCAGGTACCAAATGAGGCACAGTAGTCGTGTGCGTAAGAGGAGAATTCAGAGATGAAATGAGACAGTGTCAGGGAACAAAGGTCTCCAACACTTTGGAATCATCAGTGTAACCCACACTGGGTTCCCTCTGCATCGGCTTCATCCTGTTGTCTTCAGCAGGTACCTCTGTCTTCTTTTTCGCACCATTTCCCCCCCCCCGTTTTTCAGATTTATGATGGAAAATTTCAAGCATACACCAAATTTGAAAGAACAGTACAATGAATCCCTTGTCACCCTCTTCTGGTTCTAACAATTAATAACAGCTTGTTTCATCTGACCTCCCAGGGGCTGACGAATGTTAAAGCAAATCTCAGACATCATATCCTTTGACCTATAAATATGTCACATATGTCTGTAACTGATGAGTTTTTTTGAAAAGAAAACGTAGAAAACCACAATACCATTATCCCACCCGACACAATCGACAATATTTCCTTATGTCATGTCATACCCAGCCTGTGTTCCATTGTCCCCAAGTGTCTTAAGTATGTTTTTGTACTTGGTTGGTTTGAATCACATCCAAACCCAAGGTCAACATGTTGCTTTTGGCTGATATGTCTCTTAAGTCTGTCTCAGTCTGTAAGTTTCCCAGCCCTTTCTTATTTTTTTTTTCCCCCCAGACCATTTATTTGTTACAGAAACTGGGCATTTGTGGTGTAGAATTTCTCACATTCTGGACGTGGCTGATTGTGACCCTGTGGTGCTGTGTAACATGTTCCGCTCTCCCTCGTCTTTGCTGTGAACTGGTAGCTAGATGTAGAGGCTGGATTAGATTCAAGTTCACTTTTTAACCTTGGGGTGTAATTTCCATACTGTGAGATGCACAGACCTCAGGTGTACAGTCCGTGAGTTTTGACACGCATGGAACCCACACCTATCGAGATGGAGAAAATCTCCATCATCCTAGAAAGTTCCTCCTCCTGCTTTCTTTGATCACTTCTGCCCTGTGTATGAGGAAATCAAGTGCTACCTACCAAGCACAGCTGAGGCTTTTTACCTTCCGTTCTAGCCCTGCCTTGCCTGTGGGGGTTTTAGGGCCGACTTTGGGAAGGTGGTGATGTGGGGAGTCCTGCTGCTATCTGGACCACGTCTTCTTCTCATGACCTGCAGCGTGTTTTCATTGGCACCTTATATCAGGAGAATTGCAGTTGCAAGTAACAAAAATTGGTATCCAGATTGGCTTAAGGGAATTTATTGGCTGATGTAACTGAAAATTCTAGATATAAATCCTGATTTCACGTGAAGCTTTAGCAAGTGGCTCAACAATATTACCAATGTTTTCTTCCATTTTTCTGCTCCGCTATCTACTGGGTCAACCTTATACTGTATTTGGGTCCAAAATGGTAGTCAGTGGCCCCCAGGACTGAATCATAATTCAGAAAGGACAAGAGAATATGTTTTTCGTAGAATTTGTAGCAAAAGGCCTGAGATTTACCCTGATTGGCCTGGCACAGATCACATGCCCACTACTGGTCCAGTCGACCGTTCAGCTCTGGGGCTGGGAACAGAGTCAGCTTCCCCAGAAGCACGCGCGTCCCCGGAATGGAGAGCAGGAGGTAATGGCAAGGAGGGATTGGTGGCCGGAGGCAGCCACAGATGTCTGCCATAACATCTAAGCCCCGGAAACCCCTGTGTTTGGGATTCTGGGCCATGCCAGACATCACCCCTTGCCCTCCCCCAGTCCCTCCTTGCCAGCCATCCTGAGATTCTTCTAGAATTTGGGGGTGGGGTGGTCACTACATTCATTCTGAGCTTACTGTTTCCAGCTGGGAAAAACGCACAGATCCCCGAGGCAGGTTTTACTATGTGGATCACAACACCCGGACCACCACCTGGCAGCGCCCGACAGCTGAGTACGTGCGCAACTACGAGCAGTGGCAGTCGCAGCGGAATCAGCTCCAGGGGGCCATGCAGCACTTCAGCCAAAGATTCCTCTACCAGGTGAGAGGGCAGGGGCTTGCCTCCGGGCAGGGGAGCCTCCCCGAGCTCAGAATGCCCAGCCTCACCATCCTCTGTTGACCTGCTTGGTGAGCAGAGGAGACGGTGGCTCACGACGTCAGGGCCCCGACCCTGGAGATTTTACTCATCACACTGAAATTCCTCAAATGCCAATGTTTCTAACTTAGCAACTCCATGTCTAGCCTCTGTGTTTAAGGAATCAACATGTCTGAAAGAGAATTCACCGTCTTTCTTCCAAGACTGGCTTTATTCTCTGTCCCCTCCATCCAAGTCCATTTTCCCTGACCTGAAACCTGAAGGTCAGCTTGACTGCTCCCACACCTCAGATCGAAGCAGTCACCCCAGTTCTTCTCTTTCCATTGCTGCTGCTGTTTTTCACTAGATCTTTGTTATCTGACAGATTCTCAAGGATGGGAGACCTAAAATTCATCTAGATCAGGGGTTGGCAAACAATAGCCCCTGTGCCAAACTGGCCCACTGCCTGATTTTATAAATCAAGTTTTATTGGAACATCGGCATGTCCGTGGCTCACAAAGCCTAAAGCATTTACTGTCTGGCCCTTTATAGGAAAAGTTTGTTGACCCCTGGCCTAGCCCAGCGCCTTGTGTCTGATATTTTCGTCTGCCACCTCCCACCTGAATTGTTAGAGCAGCCTCTGTGTAGTTCTCTCCGTTGGCCTTCTCTCTCTGCCAATCCGTCCGCCTATTTCCGACCAGAGCAATCTTCAAATATATCATCGTATCACTTTACTGGCACAAAACCTTCTATTGGTCATTACTTACAAAATAACATTTAAACTTTCTAGTCCAGAATTCAGGGTGCTCTGGTCCCAAATTAACTGTCTAATGGTCCCTTATACTGTGTCCCTTTAGGGACCCTCCCAGCCCTACCTCCTGGATTCTCTATCCCATTAGAGCCTCCACCAGTGACCTGGAGCTGGGGGGAGCCCAGCTGTGCAGTCTCTTTGGCAGGGAGAAGTGGGTTCCCAAGCTGGAGCTCTGATCACGCTTTCTCAGAGCACCGTGCAGGTGAAGGTGGGATCCACAGTAGGACCCACACAGGATGTGGCGCTGTCGTGCAGGCTGGATCCTGGCTGCTAATCACGTGTGACATCGTTTCTGTTTGAAATGCATTTTAACCCCGCGACCCATTTCTACACTGGATACTACCCCAGCTAGATGCTCAGAAAAATCTTTAATCCCATTTAATTAAGCAGCAGTCATTGTCATCTTTGCGTTCATTTGTGGCTTTCTCTCTGCTCACCCAGGCAGGAGCTCCACCATCAACTAGAACTCACTGTAGCGTCTCCCTTGGCTAGTTTGTCCCTTCTCTCTGTGGAGGCTCATTGCTCATCATACAGTGTGGATGAGCAGAAGGCATGGCGTTTGTCCTTATAAGTTTCCTCCAGGGTCAGTGGTGGTGCCCCTCTACAATCCACGCCCGGTGCCTTGTCACTAGCAGCAGTGCTCGTGTTCTCATACCAGACTTCCCATCCCTAACCCCATCACGTGTGCCCAGCATCCAGTTCTGGCATGTTTCAAAATTGAATGGTGTCTGGTCATTTTCTACATTTCAGAGATTGTTCCTTTTGACCTGGGCCCCAACGACTTTGCCTGCCGTTTTCTTGAGTAGTCGTGGCTGCAAAATAGGGAAGGTCTTGTTTGACCTGTCTGTCCTTTGACTTAGAAATAAGGACATATTTTAGGAGTTTCACATGGTTTTGTTTCCCTGATTATCCAGCTTCTCTAATTAGAAAAAAATTCATTAAAGGAATTTTTTTTTCCCTTCCGTATCACCCACCAAGTAGGTTCTAGAGGTTGACCGAGATGTTTGGTGTGAAAGGAAAGATTCACAGATTTTGGAGCGTGCATTCCTCTCGCCTGCCTGTGTTTTAGCAATGCCATTCTGGGCTTATGGAGGTAAAAGTTTGACTTGGAGGGTTCCCTAGAAGTAAAAACTAAACACTAAAAAGTTTTTCTTTCTGAGTGCTCTTAAATGGTTTTCTCAGCATAGCTGGGGATATAGGAAGATTCTACGTGGAGGTGATGTTACCTTTTCTCCATGAAACAAGACTCAGATTGAAAAACGTGGTAGGAATCTTTTTTTGGTCTGCTTTCAATGTCTCTCTGTTGATTTTCCTCCCCCTCTGGATTTGGTTTTCCCTTCTTGTTTGCTATGGTGCCATGTCCTGGTTACGAGTAAGAAGGGTTGCTTTCATACAGTTATTTTGGGGTTTGGCTCAGGCCCAGGGTTCGACTCGGAAGACTTGAGGGCCGATACTACACGAGCGGCTTCCCTCCTCCCCTTGCTGGGCTTCAACGGAGACCTTGTTCTTCGCTGCGCTGCAGAGAACATGAACTACAGTTGGGGATGGCAATCAAGGGACTCCCAGGTTGCAGCCTCCTGTAATGCCTTCCTACCGTTGGCCTCAGCACACACTGTTTTCGGTTCCTCTACGTTATTGTTCCCCTTATTTCTGCCTAGTTTTCCTTTCTTAACTCCCCAGTGAACCTTGTTGCTTTGATCCTCATGTGTGATTTTTTTTTTTTGTCATTTGTTTCACTCTTGCAGCTTCCTTTTGCCCTCTATGTCGTGTTCCTGCTGGGAGCCACCACGGATGCTCGGCACAGCCACGCACGTTGTGCTGTTGTGACGGGACCATCACACATTCCCCAACCTTTAGGGCACTTCTTCCTTTACTCTCCCTTTGTCCCGCCCCTGGTAACTAAAGGAGGTAGCCAGTGTCTGCAGGATTGAAACAAATCATTCTGTGGCTCTTAGCGTGTCGACTCCAAATTGCGTTATCCAGAAACAGACAACTTGTTTCTCACTCTGCAGAGAGCCCTGTGGATTGAATTCTCAAGCACCTGGGTTTTGTTCTGCATCCATCGGATGTATCCTTAAAAAAACGATGCCTGCTTTGGATACTGCAACCTTTCTGCCCTTCCCAGAACCTTTCTTGCCCTCGGCTGTATTTGCTAGACATTCTTTATTTCTGAGTTTGTATCTTAAAATATTACTGGAACTTGGTGCTTAGTCCCCGAGGGACTTGCACTCACGTGAGCTCTCTGGCTTGGGGCTGCACCCAGATCTCCCAGCCCAGGGACCGATTCAGCAGCAGTCCTTTCTGTTCCTAGCGATGAAGGGCACCATCTTGGGTGTTAGAGTTACCTGCACATCCCGGCATCTCTCTCCTGGCCTCAGTCCCCCCATGCTGCCGTCTGTGTGCTTTTCCCCTGTGCCCCATGCAGCACTTTGGGAGCTCTCATCTCAGGGCAAGTGCTGGAAGGGACAGTGGGTTGGCTCATTGGAGGTGTGGGGTTTTTGGCTTTTGGTTTTCTGGCCATGATGTGTAGCTTTTATTTTTTGTTTCCCCTTGGCATCTGTTTACTTCCTTCCTTCTGGCTTTCTTTGCTTATTTTTCAAGTTGTACTGTGTATCTCAGGAAGAAATATCCAAAAGAGTCAAGTGCTTCGCTCTGACTATGAGAAGTAAGATCGTTACGAGCATCAGCTTCCGTTGGATCTGATTTCACGTGCTGGTTGTGTTTCTCAGTCTCTGATCTCTCTCCCTTTCCCATCTGCCTCTTTCCTCCCCTTCTTATGGGTTAGGGAGGGTGGAGTTCTGATACAATGAGAATGGGAGGACACCAAAGAAAATTTTTTAAAAACCCCTCTAACAAAAGAGAACCAACATTGTATAAACTTAGGGGTATTTTCAAAAAGGCAAGGGTAAAGAAAAGGGCTGATAAATATTTTCTGCTCCTGGTTCATTGCTGCTCGTGGAGGCCGTCAAGAAAGGCCTTTTGGTCCTATCGATTTGTACAGTTAAGCGGAACAGGACTGGACGCCCACGGAGGCCCAGTTGGTCCTGGCTGGAAGCCAGTTCCCGTCGCAGCTCCTGAACACTTTATAGATAGGTGATCTGCTCGTTGTGAAGCAAGACCTGAAGCAGCAAACAGTTTTGCACCTGGCGCTTCTTGTTTTGATTTCTTACAATAACCTTTCCTGTAGTTCTTCCCTCTTGCAAGGCCATTGCTGTCGCTCCGTGCTTACCAATTGCGTTCCGCTTGTCTTCGGTGTCTGCAATACGTGCGTGCGTTTTCACGTTCGTTCCTTTGCTTCTCTTGCCGAATGTTTAACATCTACTGTTCTCACATGTTGACTACAAAACAAAGTTAGAGGAACTTGGATTTCATGAGATGCTTGTACGCTGTCTCCCCAACCCCCGGCACACAGACACGTACCAACATGACTTCTGCGAATTCGGGAGATTTTTTTCCCTGTAATGATCAGCTATGAATTGTGACGGAGATTTTAAGCCCATCCATGAGACTGATGGTAAAGCGCCTTAAATCCAGGTCGGCTGCCCCCACCTTCGTGTGGTTCCTTTCTGTGTAGGTAGGAGGCCTTTCGCTGAAAGGGGGCTCTGTCCCGTCAGGGAACCTATGGTTTCCAGACTTAAACGTCTTTGTTGGAACTTGCTTGGAAGAGGAGCCTCTGTTGCCACTTTGGAAAGAAAGTTCCTCTGTCCTTTCAGTGGGGGGCGGAGGGAGGGCTGGGGAAGGGGGTTCGCTGGCAGTCGAGTTCCACCAATGTTTTCTCAAGCCGAGACTGAGCTCCATTCATGCTCCTGCCCGTGTGTGGCTCCGTCACCCCCCGACGGGGCCAGCCCAGGAGCCCGAAGTCTGCATTTAGAACTTGATCCCCTCATATAACGATTACATTTTAGTAAGTGAAATAAAAATGTTTCAGTAAAAAAAAAAAAGAAAGAAGGAAAGAAAGAGCGGAACAATACTTGTTTTATTTAACTATGAAAAGTTTTTGACAGCACCCCCCCCTCCCCGCAGGATATGAGAACTCTCAGTCCAGTGCAGCCTTCCCCAGGGACCTCCAAGCAGAGTTAGGCCGGGGGGGCTTCTAATGTAAACATTGACCCTGAAGTCCCGGAGCCGGTTCCCCCTTCTCTCTCCTGTCTCCCCTTCTCTCTTGCCGCCCCCAGCCCCAGCCCCACCTCCCCAGACGGGCAAACACAGAACACTGAGCAACTTCAGGTTCAGGCCTGGGAAGAATAAAGGTGCTTTGTGAAGGGGAAGGAAAACATTCCTGGGGGAGGTGAGGGGCTGGGGGCATGAATGTGCCCTCAGTCTGGGTGGATGGTGCACACCCTGGAGGGAGGTGGGGGCTGGAAGCCGAGGTGGAGGGAGGAGGACCCGGCCCCAGCCAGGAAGCTCTGGGCGTGGGCAGGGCTTGTGGGAATGATTTCATTGGAAAGGCCTGCGATATTTTTTCCCCTCCTGTGTGTGGTTCTTGGAGAAAGTTGGAGGTGGTGGTGATTTCAGTCGCCTTGGCCGCGGCGAGCCGGAGCTGAGCAGAGGCACCCGGCCGAGCTTGCTGGGCAGCCCGCTCTGGGCCCTCCTGCCCGGCCCTGCCCGGCCGTCTCCACCTTCCTCCACACACCTCTGCCTCCCCGTCGCTCGGCCCTTTCCAAAACCCATTCAGGCCCTCCGTGTGCAGGGTTCTTTTTTGGTTTTTCTTTTGAAAAAGAAAAAAAGACTTTTTGAGAGGAGCGGGTGCTTCCTAAGGTCCCACTGCATCCTCCGCAAAGTGCTGAACTATGGAAATGAGTCGTTGGCATTTTTATTTTTTGTCGATTGGTTTATTTTTGAGCAGTGGCTCTTTTTAACCTCTGTGTTCTGCTGTGTTTCTTGTGTTTAGTCTTCGAGTGCTTCGACTGACCATGATCCCCTGGGACCCCTCCCCCCTGGCTGGGGTAAGTACCGAGTTCTGTTTCTGCGTCCTCAGCCTCCCGCCAGCCACGATGCTCTGTCTCTTCTCCGTGTCTTCCCTCCCCGCTCCGATGCCTCGGTTTTCCATCTCGCCTCCTCTCTCCAGCACACCCTGGGTGTGCCCGGCCCGAGTGATTACAGGTGATGGGGCTGGAAGGTTCGGGATGTGCTCAAGCCCCGCTGCGCCCCTGTAGCATCACCCGCCATAGCTAAAGGCTGTGAGAAAGACGTCCCCGAGCAGCTCGGGGACTGTTGGGTTTTGGTCTCGAGTTTCAAGGTGTCTGCTCCAGAATCCATCCTGTCACTAAAATATGTTGACGCTGCCTGATGCCCAAATGGATTTGTTTCAGGTCTTCTGTGACCATGTGGTTGGAAGGAGCTACCTTAACAAACCTTTCTTTGCAGCCAAGATGTTGGAGGACTTCAGTCTGATTTTGACTAATGGAAGGCACCTTTTTATTTGTGACACAGCCATGAAAGAGGCCGGAGGGAGGCAGATAAGAGGGTCGAGCTCCGGGCAGTGACTCTGTGGAAGTGCACCGTTGCTCGCTAGTGACGCCACGCAGGGTCCTCCTTGCCCTCGGCAGCTGCCTCTTACCCCTTCCACGTCCTTGGTGTGATTCGCCAGCACCGAGTGGAAGGATGGACACCCATGACTTAGCAGACATTATGGGCTTTATGGCTGTTCCGGGAAGGAGTGGTCACGTGAACGGTCATCAGAGAGGATGAGACTCGGTGCATTTCGTAGCTCTCAGAGCCGAGGCAGGGTTTTGTTCCATCCTGCAAGAGTCCCTGGGAGCTGCCTTCGTTGAGAGGTTTGCAGGAATCAGCATGTGTTGGGTTTAATTTATAGGTTAGGCCAGCCGAGGACAGTAAGTGCTGGTTTGGTGGTGTTCGTAGGTGGCATTAAGTTGGGAGGGGGGTGTGCTCCCAGCAGGGTGCTGGGAAGCTGACGACAGGATGGGCCTCGCCTGGGAAGTGCAGCTTTGGGGCTGGATCCTCTCGCAGACACAGCTGCTCCCTGGTAGTAATTTAAGAGGTTGTATCAACTCTCTTCAACCTGCAGGGTATCACTCAGCGAGTTCCCACTGCATTCCAGAGCGCTAGCAGGACCTTCTGGTTCTTCTTGGCGGGAGATAGTAGTTCGTGAAGCTTCCACACATTTCTTGATTTTCAGCTGCACACACAGATGACCCTCCTGGCTCCTTGGACCGATGAAAGGTGTCATGGGAATGTCAGAAATTGGCAGCAAGTCACAGCGAGAGGGTGAAACACTTAGGATCCCTGCCTAGGCATAGGCAGGGAAAAGCGCATCAGATTAAATAAGAATCTGAGAATCTGTAATGCCGTTTGACAGCTAATTACCTACAGCCAGGGACCCGGGTTTGTTTCTGGCTCTATAGAGGCAGGTGGTATAGCCCAGTCAAAGGGCTTTCTCTCTGTACCAGTTCTGCTAAGTGATGGTCACCAGGTAAGAGCAGCTGATAGAGACTTTGAAGCAGCTTCCAGATGCCAAGTGTGAAAATATCTGAGATGGGAACGGAGACGCCACGACCAGAGGGGGCAATGCTGTTTTTGAATGGTTAGGAAAAAGCCACTAAGCTGTAATAGTCCAGAACTGAGAAAAAGAACATTCTGGCTAAAGGCCAGTGTGCCTTCCTGATCACAAATCCTCAAGGCTCTGTGCCAGCTTCCCCAGGGCTGTGGCAGGGGCTACTGCTCCGGGGCTCGTTAAGAATGAGCTGCCAAACCGGGCGAGAACTGCATCTGTCGGCAGCCTGCTGTCAGTCTGCTGGTGTGCCCCTCTCCTGCTCCAGGAGAGACCCTGCGATGTGCCCACACACTGCCCTGGGACTCAGGACCCCTGGGGCTGGCTTAGATCCACATCTGCTCCTGCGTGGTCCTGGCTCCGGGCGTGTGACTAAATTCTCCTGAGTCCACTCGCCCCTAAAGTGAGGTCAAGCTAGGCGCTCATTTAAGGACTTTCGCTGCCCCCAGGCTGCAATGAGATTGTTTGCAGCAGGGAGGCAGCTCAGTTGGCCGCGAGCGGCCTCCACGCAGCGGCAGAGCCAGAAATGACGGCACAGGCCTCAGACCCGCTGGACAGATCCTCCGGCCCGGCGGTTAGCCTTGGCTTCGGCGCTTGGCAGAGCAGATGTGGAGGATCCAGTTCAAAGCAGTAGCTGCTGGGCTGGGAGCCGCCCCCTCCCCTGGAAACCTCTCGGGAAGCCTTCCTCCTGTGGGCCAGCCACACAGCCGTGCCCAGGTGGCGGTGGCTCTGGAACAGTTCCGGCACCTCCTTTGCTTTCTTTCCTTTTGTCTTTATTTTTATTTTATTTTATTTTTATTTATCTATCCAGATTTATTGAGGCATGATTGACAAATAATGCCTATTTGAGAATTTCAGCTGAGTCGCGGATACAAGTTAAGGCAGAGAGTCAGAGAGCGTGACCTTGGGTTGATCCTGGGAACGGGCAGCTTCCTTCTTGTTGCAGGGGATCGAGGGGCTGCTGGTCCTCCCAGTCCTATTCCTTTTGCAGCTGTCGAGTTCTCTGTAGCTTCTGGAACTGATTATTTTTATTTCTTTCATTTCTCCCTGTCATTGTTAATGAGGGAGAGCCATTAGCATCATTTGCGTTCAGGACAGAGACAGATTTGAAGGCTCAGGAATGTCCTGGGAAAGGTGACCTCTTCGGGGTCTGGGGCCTTGCCCCTAGCTTTTTCTTCCATCTACCCCTTTCAACCCCTCTCAAGGTCCAAAGTCACCAGCCAGGCTCGGGTCTGCCCCTGGAGCTCAGACTGCCACCCTTGGGGAGCCCAGAGCCACCATCAGTGTGTCAGTAACAGACAAGAGATTAAAGATGGGCCAGGAGCTGGGCGCGGTGGCTCATGCCTGTAATCCTAGCACTCTGGGAGGCTGAGGCAAGCGGATTGTTTGAGCTCAGGAGTTCGAAACCAGCCTGAGCAAGAGCGAGACCCCGTCTCTACTAAAATTAAAAAGAAATTAATTGGACAACTAAAAAAAAATATATAGAAAAAATTAGCCGGGCATGGTGGCGCATGCCTGTAGTCCCAGCTACTCGGGAGGCTGAGGCAGGGTGATCGCTTGAGCCCAGGAGTTTGAGGTTGCTGTGAGCTAGGCTGACGCCACCGCACTCACTCTAGCCAGGGCAACAGAGCGAGACTCTGTCTCAAAAAAAAAAAAAAAAAAAAAAAAGACGGGCCAGAGCAGAGCAAAGTATGTCTGGCCCCACCCCTGCCCCCTGCAAACACTCTCAAAGCATGCACTTAGGTGTGGAAACAAGATGGGCATTTTAAGCATCCACAGCCCCAGCCATAATTCATTTGCTCGTAAGCAAGATGGAGGTTTGGCTGGGAAATGAGAGTTTTAGAACAAAACTTTGCCTGTAAGCAGGAGAAGAGAGAGAACGTGGAGGGTACGGGGGCCCCATGGTGCAGAGTGCTGACCATAGAGGTACGGGGGGATGTGCAGCCACTCCACGGGGACCCTGCCTTGTGGCCTTGTAGGACAGAGGCACCCAGGTTGGCTGCCTCCAATGGACTGCGCAGTCACGGGACCAGGGATCAGCCCTGAGGGACGGGTGGGGGCCTGGCGGGCGGGAGGCTGCGGTGTCCGTGCCGCACACAGCTGGATGCAATTACGCCCCTGGTTTCGGCTGCGCTGCTCCGTCCCCGTTGCCACACCACCCCCTCCCTGCGACAAACCAGACAACCAAAGAAGTGCTTCGTCTGGAGTTGGAAATGTGTCTGTCCCTGCCCCACCCCCCCGACAAGGAAGGCCTGTGTTTGTCCTGTTTCCCAGTGACAAGTGTGAGTGGGCCAGGCTTTGGGCCAGTGAACGTTTCTAACAGGTTGGCAACGGGCAGAAACTCACACCCAGCACACAGCGGGTCGGAGCCAGACCGAAAGAACTCAAGATGTTTGAACCTGATTGTTTTCTCTTTCTTCCCCTGTGGCAGAGAAGAGACAGGACAACGGACGGGTGTATTACGTGAACCATAACACTCGCACTACCCAGTGGGAGGACCCTCGGACCCAAGGGTAAGCACTTGGGCTGAGTGGCCTTGGACTGTTTTGTCCCAGAGGGCTGATGTCAGGGCACCTTTGGCCACACGCAGGTGCCCCGAGACTCTCACAATATAGATGTAGTGTTGACCTAAGGAGAGCTTGAAAGTAGCCCCTTAGACAGACCTTCTTGGTGGATGGAGAGTGGCCCTGCTGGAAGGTATTGCTGGTTTTTGCACTGACTGTGCAGGCTGCTGACAATCTGATTGCAAAAAGGTTGGGGGCACCCTGGCTCCCCAACACCCCAGGAGAAGTCGGGCCGGGCCACTTGGTGTCTCGGTGTTGTGGTGGCTGTTCTGTGTCGTTCTGTCCACTCAGGGCTGGATTTTTGGCCTTGGGATAGTGAATGACCTCTCTGTACTGCAGAAGTGACCTCACAAATGGGGCCATGCTGGGCGCGCATCCTCAAGGCCCCCCGCCAAGGGCCCTGCAGAGCCTGGGGAAAGCAGAGACAGGCGGCACTTTGGGGACCCCAACCTCCTATGCTTTGAGGCCCAGAAGGTGGGGACAGCCCTTAACCCCCTCCCTGTGATTTCAGGATGATCCAGGAACCAGCTCTGCCCCCAGGGTGGGAGATGAAATACACCAGTGAGGGGGTGCGGTACTTCGTGGACCACAACACCCGCACCACCACCTTTAAGGATCCTCGCCCAGGGTTTGAGTCGGGGTAAGGGCTTTTGCTGGCGACAGCAGTGTCTGTGGGCACAGGCCCAGGGTGTCCTTGTCCCGCTGGCTCTGGGAGCCTGTGGTGAGCTCTGCTGCTCTTGCTGCCCTCTGGTGCCCAGTGTTGGTGTCACACTAAAGGGGCTGGGGACAAGGGACAGTCCTGTTCCTTCACAGTTAATGCTGGACGTATTTCTCTAAAAACAAGAGGCCTGGCTTTATTTCTAGATTTTGCTTTTTGCTCTTGAAAGATCTTAATGGCAGTCACTTTCTTTGTTGTGTGCCTTCCTTTACTCGTTTTTAAATTAACATAGCATGAGCTTTCCTTAGGGCTAACAAAGACAAACCATTCATTCTTTGAGAAATCACGTGGATTCTAGAACATCTTTGTTCTTCCCAGGACGAAGCAAGGTTCCCCTGGTGCCTATGATCGAAGTTTTCGATGGAAGTATCACCAGTTCCGTTTCCTCTGCCATGTGAGTTCTGGTCCTGGGACTCCCAGGGCAGCTGGGTCATTGAATTCTTTCGCCTGCTGTCCCAGCCCAGCAGCAGGTGGTAGAATGTCTGTCTTGGGTGGCCGCAAGATGCTGTCGTAACCCCGAGCTGGTTGTCTCTAGGAAGCCAGCTTCCGTTCCCAGGGACACGCTCTCGCCCTCCTGGCCCAGGGGTGTTGGGGATTCCTGTTCCTACAGACGGGAGACCAAATTACCACTCGTGGCCCTGATTTGAGGTTTTTCCCTTTTCTTTTCAGTCAAATGCCCTGCCCAGCCACGTGAAGATCAACGTTTCCAGGCAGACACTTTTTGAGGATTCTTTCCAACAGGTTAGAGCGTAATTATGGTGCCCAAGACCAGGGGCAGGCAGGAGCCCTCCACCCACCACCCCTTCTTCTACCACGTGGCCTGTTACAACCACACTGTTGCACATCCAAGGCATGGGCCTTGGTGACCGTGTCTGCTGGGGAGGTGGCCTTAGAATCCCCCTTTCTGCCCCCACCTGCCGTGGACGGGACAGTGACAGGCTGGCCAGACGCTCTGTCTCCCCAGATCATGAACATGAAACCCTACGACCTGCGCCGCCGGCTCTACATCATCATGCGTGGCGAGGAGGGCCTGGACTACGGAGGCATTGCCAGGTGAGCTCAGGTGCCCTGAGGCTGCACTCACTGTACCCGCTTTCCTGGGCTGCGGGTCCCGCGGCTAGAAAGCTGCCTCCCCTTTGCACAGACTCACTCCTGAAGCTCTCATGCATCTTCAGGAGTGGGTGCTGGGTGACGCTCAAAATACTGAATCAATGTGGCCGGTCCAAGTGGGCCTAGAGCAGGGTCCTGGGGTCCCCTTCTTGACTAGAACTAACCCCATAGTTACAGGGTTGTGGGGAGACTTGGGGGAGGGGCTCAGGACAGTGGCTCTGTTACCAATCACTGTGACATTATTTCTGTACTTTAACAACCAGTCCAAGAGCAGGTGCATTAAAATCAGCCCTGGGCTTCCCTCCTCTTGAGGCAGCTGGAGCAGGTGAAGTCAGGTGTCTCAGTGTGCATAAGCTGTGTCACGATCAAAAGGGCCTTGAGCAGGACTTAGCTGCGTGTCACATGCATGGGGTCACTAAATTGAAACGACTGATGTGACCCTGAAAGGAGCCCACAGCATTGTCTTGCCCTCAGCCCGGTCCACCTGCAAAAGTTAACAGCTCTCTGGGAAATGTTGCCTCGGACCACGGGGCTGAAGGGCCCCGGCAGCGGGAAGGAGCGTCTGGGCCCGTGGTGACCTCTCCGCTCACTGACCTCTCACGGTGGGGGGACGTCTTCTCGCTTGGTGTGGGGTTAACTTGCTTCTGATCCTCTGTTCGCTGGTGGTGTTGCCTTCTGCGCTGGCCCCCCGTGGATGGATTGTCCTTTTTCCGTGGTGACCTCCTCTCCAGGCTCTGCTTGGTGGGCTTCTGGTGTGGCTCGCGCCCTGTATGTGTCTCTCTCTCTGTGTCCTGCCAGTGGTTTTACCCTATGGTAGGTTACGTCATGCTGTTCTACCACAGGGTAGAACCACGGACAGGATACCGGGGCACCCTCTGCATCGAAGGACTCCTCGTCTGCCCAGCCACAAACAGCCCAGCAGCCAGGGACTGGCCTCCTTGGGATGTCCCCCTGCTGGTTTAGCTGAAGCCCAAAAGGACTCTGGATTCTGGCTTGAGGCTTGTACCTAGGGTGCAAACAGATGCTAAGGCGTGGGTCTTGGTCACGTGACTACGTGGAATTGTGGGAAAGGGCATGGTGATGGCGCCTGGGGAGAGGGGAGGGCAGGGGCAAGGGACGTGAGGTGCCTGTGGCGTAGCTGCTGGGAGTCAGGTTATGATCTAGAGGCAGCATGGAGTACAGTTTTCATGGGTCAGGAGTTGGGAACATGTTACCACGTGTTTATGTTGTGCTGAGTCCCCAGGCAGGGTGGAAGCAGGGCGGGTGCTATTCATACAGCACCAGCAAAGCAGGCAAGTTGTTATAATAAACACGTGGGTCTGTGATACTTCAACATAGTGCCCTTGTGCAGTGCACAGCCTTCACAACTGTGTGTGGTCGCCCACGGGGCAGGGAGCCCCTTTGCTATTAGAAGCTCTGGATGTTGTCATGTAAGGTCCTAGCATGCACCACCTGGGAGCCAACAGGTTCACGGGCAGGTTTTCCTAAGCATCGTCTTCAGATGCAGTTGCCGTCCTGGTTTGCCCAGGTCTGAGCCTGCCCTGTGCACTGACCAGCTGTTAGTACCGGTTGGCCCAGGCACGGGTCATGGCTCTACTCCCCAGGACACGTGTCTCCAGACTACCTGAGCCACGCTGGCAGAGAGCCATAACTCTGTTGTTCTTGTTTTTTCCTCTCTCTTCCCGCACAGAGAGTGGTTTTTCCTCCTGTCCCACGAGGTGCTCAACCCCATGTACTGTTTATTTGAATACGCCGGCAAGAACAACTACTGCCTGCAGATCAACCCCGCCTCTTCCATCAACCCCGACCACCTCACCTACTTCCGCTTCATCGGCAGATTCATCGCCATGGTGAGGGGCGCCAGGGTCGGGCTCCAGTCCCAGGAGTTCTCTCCTCTCTTCTTCCACTTCCTTCTGGAGAAGTGTGCGGGGGCACGGGGGCATCCGGTCTTCCCCGCGCCTCCAGGGAAGGCAGCCTGCGGGCAGCGTGGCCCGAACAGCAGCGCCGTGGACGCGCGCTCCCTCTCTGGCCTACGCTTCATCCCCACAGAAATCCTAACCTAAAAATGCAAAAGCTAGAGATAGTTCTGGAGAAACCAGAGCTTTCTCAGTGGCCACCCCAAGGGTACCGAAGGGTTTCCCATGTTGATTTGTGCAGTACTTGTCAAGCAGACGCCCAGGTCTCTGGGCCACAGACGTCACTAAATGTTAAATGTGTTCCCTGTCGGGGGTGTTGGGATGACAGGGCCTAGTGAACCATTGCTGCCCACCTGCTGCCTGTCTCTGGGAGGTGCCACCGTTTGTCACAAGCATTTGGGAATGTCCTGACTGAGACACTAAGGCTTTTTGGAAGGGGATTTGGAATTAACACTGGCTTAGAACAGAACCCCCGCAGACTGCTTGGTGCGAGGCGTAGGAGGCGTCTGCCAGAACAGTGCGGAGGGGGAGTCGCAGCGTCTGCATTGACCTAGAAACAGGGGCGCAGTGTGAGTTTGGAAAGGGGGCTCCTGCCCCGTTGAGTGTCTTGGGAGTGTGGAGAACCGGGATTGAGAAGCGGGGTCCGTGGGAGCCACAGTCCTGCTGCTACATTTGGTGGTTTGAGATGTTTCAGTGCTAACTTTCCTTCGCATCTCCCCCTGACTTCCCGAGTATCCTGCCCAGCTCCCCTCCAGGACCCGAGGGCCCCACAAGTCCATGACTAAATATGGCCCTTCCCATCGTCTGGAAGTTCTTGGCCAAGGTGCTGGGCTCTGGAAGTGGGCACATTCTTCCCAGGTCTAGAGACCCGCCTGGCCCAGCAGCAACAGGACAGACCAGTAAAACCCTAGACTATTACTCACCATTGGCCGCCAGCTCTCGCCACCAGTGGTGTCTGCATTATTTTTGGCTGCCTCTGCCACCCAGCCCTGAGTGCCAGTGAGTCAGGGCTGCCACCGGGAACTGTTCTGAACAAGTCCTTTCTGTGATTGTGGGGCAGACCTTTGCTAGACCGGAAGCCAGCCTGGCAGGTGTGCGGGGCAGCAGCGGGCCTGGAGGTGGGCTCCCAGGGAGGCTGGATCTGCAGGGGGTAGGGCTGGGAGTCCATCTCAAGGTCCCAGGCGGGACATCGGTGTTGCAGTTTCCCAGGCCCTCCCCCAGACCCCTGAGGTTCTAGCAGGGAGGGAAGGCAGGTCATGGAGGTAGGTTTTGATACTGCATCCAAGAGCCAGCCGTGGGCCGTGTCCAGGGAAGGCCAAACCTCTCTGCTGTGCCTCTTCCCTCCCCAGGCTCTGTACCACGGAAAGTTCATTGACACGGGCTTCACCCTCCCTTTCTACAAGCGGATGCTCAACAAGAGACCAACCCTGAAGGACCTGGAATCCATCGACCCCGAATTCTACAACTCCATCGTCTGGATCAAGTGGGTTCCCTCTGTCGCCCTGCCCTGCGAGCAGCCAGGTCTCTGGCTGGGGAGTGGGTTCCAGTGGCTGCCAGGGTGGTCCCTGAGCACTTGTCTTTGTGAGAGCTCGGGCAGAGAGGCAGCTTCTAGGTCCCCTATAGGGCAGTTCTGGAATTCTCTCCTTGCGTCCGGGAACTGTCATGTGCCCAGGATTCTAGGCCACCTGTGAGCGTTAAAAGTGAGTGATGGCGCAGGATCGAGGGGAAACTCTGCCAAGGTCGACGTCTTCCCTCTTGGTGTGCTGTGCCCCCAGGGAGAACAACCTAGAGGAATGTGGCCTGGAGCTGTACTTCATCCAGGACATGGAGATCCTAGGCAAGGTCACAACCCATGAGCTGAAGGAAGGTGGCGAGAGCATCCGTGTCACCGAGGAGAACAAGGAAGAGTACATCATGTAGGTCTCTAGCGCTGGGAGCTCTGTGCCAGGGACTGGGAAGGGATTGGGGTAAAGGGCAGCAGGCGGGTTGCAGAGAAAGGCTTTTCCACTCTTGTTTTGAGGTGTGGCCCGCAGTACATCACCCCCGATCCAAGACCCTCCCATTTGCCTCTGCCTCGATGGCAGCTGCTGTGCCAGGCACATGATGATGCGAGTTGAGGGAGCCAGAGCCCGAGGTCCTCTGCCCCTAACCTCAGGTTGCTCTTTTTTGCCATGTGGGAAGACCACGGGGCTGAATTTCTTTGAAGAGGCATCAAGCTTAGGTGTCTCCATTTTTCTCTTGACTGAAAGGACTTCCGTGTCCCGTGTGCTGAGATCCACTGTGTCACACGTGCTGGGGACACACTCCCCCGCGTCTGTCTTTCAGGCCACTTGGTCTGGCCTGTGATCTCCACACTCGCACGTGCCTGAGGTTCAGTCGGTGATGGTGGCAGGAGCAGGAGGAGCAGGTGGTGGGGTGAAGGGCAGTGATTTCAAAGACTGTGATCTCCAGGTCACTGTGAGTTTTTTAAGGTTCTACTCAGGGGCCTTCAGCACACTGGGTCTAGGTGTGCCAGAAGTTTCTCCGCTGATTTGGTGCCCCTGTGTACTAACGGCCGTGTGGTTTCGGGCTCCATCCATGGCTGCTCTTTGGTCTTAGGCTGCTGACCGACTGGCGTTTCACCCGAGGCGTGGAAGAGCAGACCAAAGCCTTTCTGGATGGCTTCAACGAGGTGGCCCCGCTAGAGTGGCTGCGCTACTTTGACGAGAAGGAGCTGGAGGTGAGTGTCTGGGTTGCTGGGCCCCTGGGCCCCTGCTTGTGGGCTGATCCTGCTCTTTGATGTGCTCACTGTACACTTACAGAAACTCACCCATAGAACCGCCGCTCCAGCAGGGCAGATGGGTTCAATTTGGGTCCTCAGCACCCAGCCCTCGCTGGATGCTTGTTTAAAGAAAGTAGGGACTTGCGTTATCCATATTGCTAAAGCTGCCGGCAATAGTAGCTAGTTGGAAACGTTTGGGACTGTTCCACCTCCTGGCGAGTGGAAGGCCTCCCCACGGGGAGCGCCGGCCGCGGTGCTGACGGCCTTCCCCTGCGGCAGCTGATGCTGTGCGGCATGCAGGAGATAGACATGAGCGACTGGCAGAAGAACACCATCTACCGGCACTACACCAAGAACAGCAAGCAGATCCAGTGGTTCTGGCAGGTGCGTCCCGGGCCCCGGTTAGACCTCAAGCCCAAGAACCCTTCGTCTTTGACCTTCCCCTCACCACCGCCCCCCTGCCCCCCAACCTGCAAAAGGAGGTGATAAGCCCAGCCGTGGGATGAATGGAGACTGTTGCAGCTGGTTTGTGGCCAGTGCATGTGATAGGAGGTTGTCAGTGGTCAGCCTTGGGCCAGCTGGTGTGCAGGGCAGGGGGTGACCTGCAGGTAGGAAGTAAAGCTGCCACTTGTGTGGTTCCCTTCCAGCCAGATAGGACGGGAAGGCAGTCCCTTGGCTCCAGAAAAATGGAATGAGCTGTCATCTTGGATATAATGAATTGACTTCTTTATATACATGGGTTTTGTTATCATTATGAAGTATGGCATACATAAGAAAATGATAAATATACATATTCTTAGTGTGTGTATGTAATTTTTGTGGAGGTGAAATTCATATAATATACAATTAACCATTTTAAGTATTTTAAGACATACAATTCTGTGGCTTCTAGTACATTCATACTGCTGTGCAACTGCCACCACTCTCTAGTTCCAGAACGTTTCATCTGCTCCAAAAGAAACCCTGTACCCATTAAGTAGTCACTCCCAGCCTTAGTATATTTTTAAAAGCAGAACTTGGATGCAAAGAGAATACCTGGCCTGAGGTGTCCCTGAGACCCTTTAGATGTCCTGTGGATTGGGGGGAGTGTTCTGCAGACACAACCTCTTGGAGAAAGCACCTTTGGGGTTTCTCAGGTTGGTGGCTGTCACCCCCGGCCCAACCTGGCTTTGTCTTCTCAGCCCCAAAGAGGGGCCCCGCTGACCTGGGGAGCTCCCCGTTAGGGCGTGGTCAAGTAGGCCACCTGATGTGCCTTGACGTGCGGCGTTCCAGGTGGTGAAGGAGATGGACAACGAGAAAAGGATCCGGCTGCTGCAGTTTGTGACCGGAACCTGCCGCCTGCCCGTCGGGGGCTTTGCCGAACTCATCGGTACGTTTCCCTTGCCCTGCTGGTGCCCTGGCTGGGGGTGAGGACAGTGTGTTCCTGGAAGCGGGTCACTGGGAGGGGGAAGAGCCCCTCTTCGTCCTGGGGCTGAGCCTGTCTGTGGGTGGAGCCAGAGGGCCCTGCGTTAGGAAGGGACATTCCTGTTGACTTACGGTGTGTTTGACCTTGGGTAACAGGTAGCAACGGACCACAGAAGTTTTGCATTGACAAGGTTGGCAAGGAGACCTGGCTGCCCAGAAGCCACACCTGGTGAGCCTGCTGGTCACAGTGGCAGATGGGGGAGCCTCATAGACCAGACGCCCCCCTGGGGCATCCCAGCGGGTGCAGCCACTTCCGAGCCTTGACTCTGGCAGCTGTTTGTGGCTCTGGGGTGTTGGGTTGGCGAGATGGGGCTGAGATGTGCCTGGGCTTCCACCGCCTCGGGCCTCTGACCCACCGGGTATCACTGTGCAGCTCCTCCCCACTGCGCAGCTGTCCTGGCCCCTTTCCAGCCCCCATGGTCCAGGCGCCTGCGCCGTGGGGGTCTGCTGTGTCAGCCCGTGGCAGTGGCGTGAGCTGTGTGGCCCCCTGCAGCCGGGCAGGGCTGCTGAGGGTCCTGCTTCCCTCCCAACAGTTTCAACCGTCTGGATCTCCCGCCCTACAAGAGCTACGAACAGCTGAAAGAGAAGCTGCTGTATGCCATTGAGGAGACCGAGGGCTTTGGACAGGAGTAACGAGGCCACCGCCCCATGCCCCCCAGCGCACATGTAGTCCCGAGTCCTCCCTGCCTGAGAGGCCATGGCCGTGCAGCCCTCGGAAGGTCCCCGAGGACAGTGGCCCTGCATGGGACCACCCTGTCATCACGCTGGTGGCAGAAGAGCCTGACCCCAGGAGGCCCTGCAGCCCCCCCACCTGCGGGTGGCAGTCTGGAATAAAGCCCCCAGTCACCTTTGGCCCCACCACCCATTGTGAAGTCTGGAGGGCTGACCCTTTCTGCAAAACTCTGCCCCCTCCCCGGGCCCAAGCCTGGGTGTGCGTGAGTGTGCCAGGGAAGGTGTTGCCTCCCCAGGGGCTGCGGCCGGAGCCCTGGGCCGGGTGGGCTGGTTAGGCAGGAAGGAGATCGGCCGCTCGGGGTAGCTGTTCTGGATTGGGAAAGCCAAGGGTCTCTGCCAGTAAAAGAGGTTCTGTCTCAAATAGAACTTTCCCGATGATCCATATAAAACGAAGGTGTGCAGGCAGTCTGTGGATCAAGGCCGATTTTACTTCCCTCCCTGGCGGGCTCCAGCCCGGAGGGCAGGGCAGCAGGACTCAGTGGCGGCCAGTTCGTTCTTTCTCAGCAAACAAAGCGTCGTCCGGGCTGCCTGGGTGCCAGTGGGATGGAAACAGCAAACTCCCTCAGACTTCCTTTGTCTGTTCATAAACTTGAAGCGTTTGTGTGTAGGGTTGCTTTTAGTTTCCTGGTGTGCTGCTTTCACTTTCTGTCAAGGAGCTGGTGGCCGCAGGTGGACGAACACAGCCCCGTGGGTCTAAGGGTTTCCCAAACAGCCACTCCTCTCAGGAACCCGCTTAGCAGTTCCGTGAGCTCAGGCAGGCCTGACCTGGCAGTTCGTCCTCATGGTGGCCTAGTTCCTGAGCTCGGCAGAGAGGAAGGGGTTGGTGTCCTGAGCGATGCTCCCAACCTTGCCGCCTTCAACAGAGAAGCCCCTTTGCTTGATACAGTCACCCAGGCAGCCCTTGCCGTGGGCGCGTGGGTCTGTGTCCCCCCGCCAGCCCCTGGAGCTCCCAGTGGGCCCGTGGGCCCCGGTTCAGGATGTGGCGCGGCCTGGCCGGCTGGACGTGCTCATCCTGCATAGATACCAGGCTTTATCTGCGCACAGGGAAGGAAAACCAGCAGAAGGGCCCTGGGCTGCTGCAGAGCCTGACTTGATTTTGGGAGTTCCCAGCAGCCTCCGCTGTGGGAATTCGGCGATTCCTGGAAATCTCCAAGGTGAACGTGCTCCCGTGGGGTGCTGGAGCATTGGTCGTTGCAGGCTCCCCAGTCCAGGCGCCCGGGGTTCTAGTGCCGAGCACCAGCCGCAGACCAGCTTCCTAGAACCCCAGACAGGCCCTCAGGCTGGTCGTGGGAGCCCTCCGAGGGTAGCCTCACGTCCCCAGACTTGTCCTTCTGAGGCCCGTGGAGGCATAGCCCGTGTCCGCCTGTTGCGTGTGCTGGTCCGAGTGGCCCAGCTTGCTGCAGCTCAGCCTGTTCTGTCCCTCTCAGTCATTTGCTGCTCCCCCTGCGGCACGTCCCCACACAGGCCGCTCTGTCGGGTGGGCTGGGGCGTAAGCTGTGCTGCGAGGTTTGGAAGTGTCAGACTTGCGGGTGTTCATGTGTGTTCATGTGTGTGCGTACATACGTGTAAATAACTGAAATGTCTATACGGAATGCCCTTCGGTAGCACTGGGTTGGTCAGCAGATTGTTTTGTGACGCCCGCCCCCTGCCTCGATATTGCCAGTTTCTTGTGCAATAAACAATCAGCAGCTATGGGTGGTGTTGGTGTGGATGTCTGCAAAACCTGTGTCCTCCAGACAGGTGGCCTCTGGGCTCCACGGACCCTCCAGACCCGGGTAGAGGTGGAGATGCTTATTTTGAGAAACGTGTGCATTGTTAACTGAGGCAGCCCTACTTCTGGGAAGGGTGGCCGAGTCTTTACCCAGGGATCACTGGCTTCAGCCCGCAGTCGGCTGCCTCACCATACCCTCTCGCCGTCCTCAGCCTCCGCCTGCCAGGCCTGGGTTTCTTGGAGCAGTCGTTGTGGGCAGCAGACCAGGAACAGCTGCAGGTTGGTGGGCTTGGGGGAGAGTGTTCTGGGCATTCATTCATTCAAGAGATACTTACTGGGATTTCACAAGTTCCATGATTATAGAGGGACCTGATCTTGACCTCATGGTCGTACAAGGGCTTGCCGCTCCCTTTTCTTGCCAGTGAAGTGTTAAAGCTGGGGCAGGTCACCGTGCTGATGGGGCCGGATGCATTCGACATGAAAACGTGGACCACAGGAGCCCTGGTTGCCTCTTCTCTGGGAGGCAGAGATGTCCAGAGCTCCCTGGAGTCCGTCAGCTGAGCTCACTCCCACCAGCTCCAAAGCCTGCCTTTCATGTGACAGGGCAACACTATATTTTGAGAAAATCATTGAAAAAAGTCCATGATATACAAACGTCTCGTAATAAATTCAAGTAAGACATGCTCAAGTGGAACTCCTGCTCCCCACTCTTCTCTCCAGAAAGAACCTGTGCACAGCTGGCGGTGGTCCTTCCAGACTATTCTGTGTGCGTGTGCAAGTCATACACAATGTAGGATTTTAAAATATACCAAAAAGGGGTTATTATACATGTTGAACAACTCACTTCTTTCATTAAATGCGACACCTTTCCATGTCTGTCAGTATAGATCTAATTAATTCTTTAACTACTGTGTGATATTCCATATTGTGGTTCTAGAATACACCCATCTCCTTCCTATGGGGCGTCGAGGTTGTGTCCAGTAGGCCGCTGGTGGCTGCAAAGCTTCGGTAAACGCCTTTGGGCAGGTCTGTGGGCTGGTGCTGCTCTTCCGGTAGAGGACAGTCCTAGAAGTTGGATTGTTGATTATGCACCCTTGTTTTCATTTACAAAATTTTAAAAGGTTCAGAATTCAAAGATGCGAAGGGTCTGCAGTGAAAGGCCTCCCTCGCTCTTCCGTCCCTCGGCCACCCTGATCCCTCCTGGAGGCAACTGTTGTTGCCGGCTGCTTTTGGATCCTTCCAGATACACTTTAAAAAATTCCAGCAGGTCCTACTAAATTGCCCTTCAGGTTCTTGTCTGGCCACCCTCACCACCGGGCAGGATCTCTTGCTGCCCCTTCCGTAAATTGATCTGAGCTCCCTGGTCGCCCTCTGGGCATCTGCCTTTAACTTTCACACAATCAAAGTTGTTTTAACATTTACATTCCATTGTGTAACCAGAATGAAATGTTTCCTACTTTCTCCAGAGGTTTATTCTAAAAGCTGAAAAGCAACACAAATGTTTCTATTGCTATGGTCACGTAAATACAGTTTACTAAATAATATAATGCAACTAGTTCTTGCTCAGGTCTTTCCCTCTGTGGTTTCTAATTACCTCTGTTTGCTTGTATTATAGTCTCACTTTTTTTCTTACTCTGAAGTGTTTCAAGTAAAACATCTAGGTACTAGTTCTGTTACAGTTACTAGAACCACCACCCCCAATCCCTGGACATTGTAATAATTTCCTGATATAATTAGCCAAAGATAAGATGGAAAATTATTTGGGAAGTGGAGAGCGATGTGACTACCTTTGGTGCCCAGAGTCCCCAGTGGGTCTCCCAGGTGCCAGTAAGCCTTTATATAAGGTGGGACCTCACCAAATCTGGAAAGCCCAGCTCTTGCTATCCCATGGCCCTTCTCTGTATTGGGGCTCATGTCACCTTTCTAGAAAAACACACTGAAGATCTGCTTATGCCTGTAGTCCTAGTGCTTTGGGAGGCCGAGGCAGGAGGATCGCTGGAGCCCAGGAGTGAGAGGTTACAGTGAGCTCTGATCATGCCACTGCACTCTAGCCTGGGTGACAGAGCAAGACCCTGTCTCCTTAAAAAAAAAAAAAAAAAAGATTTGTGTGCTCGCACTTAAAGGAATGCTTACAAATCACAGGCTCTCCTGCTGGTTGAACCAAACTCCGCATCAACAAGACTCCGGCCTCATCTTGGGGAAGAAAATTGAGCCAGTAGCCAAAGTTGTTCCCCAAGCTCACTTCCCTACAGTCTACCCCTGGATCTGATTATACCTTTTCTGCAGCTACCTCTGATTCTGAGGTTGGTTCGAGTACCACACTCAGAAGCCCACTTTCCTACGGTCTGTGCCTGCACCAACCAATTGATGCAGACCAGAGCATTGATTTTTCTTTGGTGCACTTTCTGTTACTTATAACTTTTAAACATTATCATGGATTCAAGGTCTAACTCCAGTTGGTCTCAGTGATGCTTTATTTTTGGTTTGTTTTGTTTAGTTTTTTATTGTGGCAAAATACACATAACACAAAATTTACCATCTTAGCCATTTTTAAATATGTAGTTCAGTAGCATTAAAAGCATTCACCTTGTTGTACAACCATCGCCACCATCCATCTCCAGAACGCTTTTCTTGCAAAATGGAAACTCTGTACCCATGAAACAACTTCCTGTTCTCCCCTCCCAGCCCTTGGCAACCACCATTCTACTTTCTGTCTGTATGGTTTTGACTACTCTAGGACTTCAGATAAGTAGAATCATACAGTATTGTCTTTGTGATTGGCTTATTTCACTTAGCATAATGTCTTCAAGTTTTGTGGTATGTGTCAGAATTTCCTCCCTTTTTAAGACTGAAAGATATTCCATTGTATGTATAGACCACATTTTGCTTATCCATTCATCTGTTGGACATTTGGGTCACTTCTGCATTTCAGCTATTGTGAATAAGGTTGCTTTGAACATGGGTGTATAACTATCTCTCTGAGACCCTGCTTTCAGTTCTTTTGGGTACACCCAGAAGTGGAATTGCTGGATCATATGGTAATTCTTTTTTTTTAAGCCCTACTAAGTGCCAGGCACTTTGTTAGATACTTTTTTTTAAAGAGGTGGGGTCTTGCTATGTTGCCCAGGCTAGACTAGAACTCCTGGGCTCAGGTGATCTCCTCCTGCCTCAGCCTCCTGAGTACCTAGGACTACAGGTGCACATCACTGGCACCTGGCTTGGATCATATGGTAATCCTATTTTTAATGTTTTGAGGAGGTGCCATACTGTTTTCCTTGGTGGCTGTACCATTTTGCATTCCCACCAACAGTGCACAAGGGTTATAATTTTTTCAGCATTTACTGTTTTCCGCTGTGTTTTGATAGTAGCCATCCCAATGGGTGTGAGGTGGTATCTCATTGTAGGGTTTTCCCCTCTTAATCCCATGACAGATTATCATTGTCGTTTTGCATTTCTCTAGTGATGTTAAGGATATTTTCATGTGTTTGTTGGCCATTTGTATATCTTCTTTGGAGAAATGTCTATTCAAGTCCTGTGTGCTCATTGTTTTCTTTTTGATGCACGTTATAATTTTGGCCCCTTCAATTCGACTCTGTTGTCACTGTTTGATGGCCTGCAAGATATTCTATTCCCAAACTTATTTCCCTGGCCCAGAACATGGAATCAGCGACTCTACTGGAAGCCCTGGTCCTTTTGGGTGTAAAAAAATTAGTAGAAGTCAAAACCTGGGATTCCATCAAAATGCTCCAAGTAAAGACACAAATGTAAGAAGAGAAAAACAAAAAGACTGGTTCAAAGACAAAATAAATAATTCCATGGGCCAGAAACAGAACAAAAGTGCAAAACATTGGGTGAGACTGAGGCAGTGGCCCTGCTGTGCCCCCAGCCTGGCAGTGGGGCTGAGAGCTCAGCCGCTGTGGGCTGCAGGGCTGACCAAGTCCAGCACAGACAGGGGATGTTTCGTGGAAGCCCGCCAAGCGGCAAGCAGAAACCAAAGCAAACTGCCCTGCTGTGCACCTGGGCTGTGGCTTCGGGAACAAACAATGGAGGCCTAAGGAGGCGGAAACTCGCCAAACTAAATCCATCCTTTGGTTCTGAACTGGGTCTGTGATCTTCCTAGGTCTCCCTAGGCCAGGGCCCCACTCTGCCATTTCAAGATGAAGCTCTAGGGTGTGCAGGCCCAGAAGGACAGGAGGAGGCAGGACAGCGCACGGGAGAGAGAGTGAAAGAACAACCCCTCACTCAGCATGGCTGGCTCTTGCTAGTTCAGTGGGAGACACACGGGTGGGTCTTGCTTGCTGGTCTTTGCTGTGAGGGGATTTGGTGGCAAGTGGGCCGTTTCTCTGAGGCTCCTGTTCATGGGTATCTTGTCTCAGGTGGCTGGTTTCTCTAGAGATGGATCCTCCGCTGTCCTGCCTGCGGAGGAGGAAATGCCTGAGCTGGGGACACCTGCTTGCGGGCTTCCTGGGAGCAAAGACCAGGAAGGACCTGAGGCTCCCAAAGCCCAGGCCACTGACTTTACCTTTTCTCTGTCTTTCCTGCCCTGTGTCTTCCCCCAGCCTTCTGCTCTGACTGGGGCCCCCTCGCCTGGAGCCTGACTCAGCCTCTGGTCTCCTGCAGTGGGGAGTGGGGCGGTAGCCAGGCTGTGTGGGGCACGGTGGAGGACCTGGGTGTCCCGCTATTCTGTTCAGAAACGTGTAACTACCCCGGTTTTCAGCTCTCCCCTCACTCCTGCCTTCCTGCTGCTCCAAGTGCTGAGTCTCTCCGGTCCCTGTGGGACTGGGCTCACTTCTCATCTGCGTCTCCCTCCGCAGTGTCTTGCGTTAAAAATCCTGCTTGGCAGTTACGCTTTTCTACCTGGTTCACACCATTTCAAACCTTGTTAACCATCCTTCTCCATCACTGAATCCTCTTACATTAAAACTTTCTTCGCTGTCACTTTAGCTGGGCCGGATTGAGAGACGGCTAATCTGCTCTCAGTTA